CGCGTGGCTGCGCTGCGGGCCACTGGGGTCCGCGCCCGCCCTGACTGGCACCTGCGGCCCCGCGGCGCACTTGCGAGCGCCCACCGGGCGCGGACTCCAGCCCTCGCGACGTGCCCGGGCCGTGAAGCCTCCTCCTCCCTTGCCCACCCTCCGGCCCTCCGCGGCTGCAGGGATGGAGCCTCCGCGACCCGCCCGCACCCTCCGCTCTTGCCGTCTCGGGTGCCTCCAGGACCCGTGCGCCCGCCTGGGGTCCGCGACGCTCCGTGCCCGCTTCTCACCTCCCAGCTCTCGCGTCTGGTCACTTCCTGAGTCCGTGGCTTTTCCCCGAGAAATGGCTCCGCTCTTGCCCCTCCTTGCCCACCGCAGTGGATGCCCACCGGGTTTCCTGCTCGTCCATCCCACATCGCGCCCTGGGTGACAGTCACCGGGCACCTGCTCCGGTGTCCTCACCGGCTTCCGCAGCTGGTGGCGGGGTCGCCCCAGCCCCCTCCTCCCCGGGCGCCCCGTTCCCATCTCCGCCCGCCCTTCGCCCTCAGAGCCCCATCGAGCCCCTACCGTCGCCCCGCTGCTCTGCCCGCCCCTGCTGGCCCGAACTGTCCCTCCCGAGCCGGAGCTCCCTTCTCGTCCAGGCTCTGCTCACTCATTCCGCACAGGCTCAGTGAGAGGCCCCTCTATGCCGGGAGCTGTCCTGGGGGAGGGCCATGAGCAGGACAGACAGGATCCCCTGGTCCTCCTTGGTGCTCGTGGGGGTAGCCGGCGACAAAGTGCATGGCACGGGTGTTAGCAAGTGGCGAGTCCTGCGACAGGAAATAAAGCTTGGCCCACAGGTGGGGGGCGTGGGGTGGGAAGCGGGTGTCGGAGACTTAAGGAGAGGCACCGAGCCACGCAGCTACTTGGGGACTTGGGGGACAGCTGGTGCAGGCAGGGGACTGCCGTGCGTGAGGTGGGAGCACAGTGGTGTGCTCGGTGGACAGCGAGGAGACTCGTGTGGCTGGAGGGGAACAGAAGGGGGGACATTCAGAGAGAGAATGGGGACAGGGAAGCAAATTGTGAGGGCAGGGCAGGCTTTTGTAAGGACTTGGGGTCTTACTCTCAGTGAGACGAGACAGCGTTGGCTGGCTTGGAGTAGGGCAGTGACGGGGTCTCACTGATGTTTTAAATAATTCACCTGGCTTTTGTGTGGTAGGGGGCCCGCGTAGGTCACTGGCACAGTACAGGCGAAGGACAACGGCGTGGCCTGAGGTGGTAGAGTAAGTGATGAGAAGTGGTCGAATTCTGGATATTTTCTGAAGGCAGAACCGACGGGGTTTCCTGAAAATTCGATATGGGGTATGAGAGAAAAGGAGTCAAGGACGACTGGAAGCTTTTCAGCGGAGCCGTTGCAGGAGCGATTTGCCATCCACTGCCACAGGGAAGACTGCAGGCGCCGAAGGTCGGGGGAGAGCAGGGGCCACGTTCTGGACATGGGAGTTCAAGATTTATTAGAGATCCAAGGAGGTGTGTCAGGTAGACTGTTAGGGACTGGAGTCCAGGGGACGGGTCTGCGCCAAGGCTGACATCTGGGTGTCATCAGCGTGGAAGTGGTATTTAAAGTCTCTGGTCAGGGTGAATCTCCACGGAAGTGGGTGAAGGAGAGGATGGGACTGGCACTGGGTCGTGGATCCTCCAACACTTGGAGGGCTGGGAAGAAGAAGAGCCAGCGGAGGAGACAGAAAAGGGCAGACCCTGAGGCAGGTGGAAGCCGAGTGAAGAAGGTGAGACAGGAAGGAGGGTCAGCGGGGCCAGTAGGACGTGACATGAGGCCCGATGAGGCAGCGTGGAGGCCATCGTGCCTTACTCAGTGCCAGCTCCCCCGTCTGCTCCCTGTCCCCAGTCCCCCTGGGGGCCTCCATCAGCACCCAGACTCCCTTCTCACCACCATGTCCACTATCCATGCTCTAGCCCTGGGTACTACAATGGAGCCATGCAGCCTGTTCTTTAATCGTACTCACTAGTTTTTGTTTAGATAAATTCTATTTTCAAGGTGACCTAATCTAAGAAAAATGTTAAGTAAATAATCATACAGGTGGTCCATAGATCGGATGCAAGTGTGGTCCATAGACTGGTGCTGAAGTGACTGACCTCAGAAACAATGTCCCTTTATCTTGCCTCTCCTCTTCTTCCTCTAATCCGTCTCTACACTGGCCAGAGTGACCTTGTCAAATACAAATTTCATGTCTCTCTATTGCACTCAAGATGAAGTCCAAAATCCTTAGCACAGTGTATAAAGGAACAGTTCAAACTCCTCTTTTGCAATCCTGTGCCTTCCCGTACTGCTCACCCCTAAGAATCACCCCACATTCTCCCCATCCCCAATTTCCTGCTCCTCCTCTCCGTGCTTGACAGACCACTAACTTCCAGACTCAGTTAGGACTCTCCATTCCTCCAGGTGGCCTGACTGACCTCCAGGCTTGTGCCCTATGGGACCCACAGTACCTTCCATATCAGTCGTCACCACGTTTACCACATTCTGTTTATGTGTGATCTTCTGTCTCCACCACAGTGTGAGCTTTTGCAGAGAGGGCAGAGATTGTAAATCTCTTTCACTTTTATGTCCCCAGTGCCTGGTACATACATAGATCTCCAGTAAAGAGGGCAGAGATTGTAAATCTCTTTCACTTTTATGTCCCCAGTGCCTGGTACATACATAGAAGATCTCCAGTAGATAATTATTGAATGGATTTGTCCTCTGCAGGCATCTGTAAGGATCTGGGGCTGATTTAAATGATCCTCCTTTTGCAGAAGATGAAAGTCTTTGTGCCTCAGTCCCAGTGCCTGACACAGGGTAGGTACAAAATAAATAGAGGATGAATGAAGAACCATCAAATCAGAAAGCCAAAAACAAGAACAGGAAGAGCCCAAGGTTATTGCACCATAGATGTAGTAATAAAAAACATTGGGTCTATTTTGTAAATTTGAATATAAGATGGTGTAGTTTGTAATAGCTCTCTAAAACAGAAGTTAAAATCTGCATGTATGAGGATTGGGATCCCCATACTGGCCAGTCAACAACAACAAAAAGAAAGCATAAAAAAATCTGCATATATGAACTGTTGGCAATACCTTCTTTATTTTTGTCTTTACTGTTTTTTTAATTATAAAAATAATACATGCTCATAGTTAAAAAAAGAAAGGGACAGAAAGGAAAAGAAAGAAATTAAAGCCATACAGAAGCATGCAGAGTACAGTCTTCTCCATCCCCTACCCACCCCCAAGATAACCACTATTAACCATTTTTGTGTATCTTTCAGATGTTTTCTATGTGTATACAAGCATACATATGAGGGTACTTCAAAAACTTCATAGAGAAATAGAATGAAAGAGAATACGAATCTTTCCATGAACATTTCGAAGTGCCCTCGTACATTTTATTTTCTTACACAGAGGGGACTTATACTGTGCACAGCCCTGCACAGCTTGCTTGTTTTCACTTCATGTCTTAAACATTTTCCACATCAGCACACAGAAATCTACTGCACTTTTTAAAAAAATGGCCCCCAATTACTTTGTATGTATCCATGATAACTAGACTCCATTGGTGAGCAGCTTTTTTCCCGTTTTTCACAATCACAAACGTTCGCAGTACACATCCCTCTAAGTGTTGCACACTTGATCAAGTATAGCCATAGGATAAATTCCTAGAATTGGAGTTGCTGGAAGAAAAGGTACACACTGCTGCAATTTTTATAGATCTTGCCAGATTGTTTTCCAAAAGGCTGCCCCTGTTGAGACTCCTACTGATGGGGTATCAGACTGCCTCCCGTGCCACCTCTTAGAGGGCCACAGGCACTATCAAAGTTTGCTTTGCCGGTCTATTAGGTGAGAATAGTATGTCATTATTTTGATTTGCATTTTTTAACGTTATGAGTGAGTTTCACATCATTTGTTTGGCAGTAACCTTTTTAAGCTCGAGAGTGCGGTAGTTTTATTTAAAAGAAGGAGGATCTTGCAAGTTACCTTCCCAAGTCATGGGCCTCAGAGTGAGGAGCTAATTTTGGACCTTTCTCCCACTGCAGACCACCCAGTACTAACATGACTCAGAGTGAGGGTGGGCGCGGGGTGAAGATGATAGACTGGGAGAGTCACACGACTGGGTTGTAATCCAGGGTCTTCTACCGACCAGCAGGGTGATCTCAATAGAGTCATTTCTCTGAGCCTCAGTAAAAGGAAACAGTTGGACAGGTCATCTGGTTCCTTCCAGCTCCAATCTCCGATGGCTCTAAGAATGGCTGCTATGACCAGAACTCTCATAGCTACTTGCAGTTTACAGGCTGAAGTCCAAGCTCCTTAGACTGGCATTCAAGTTCCTTCTTGATCTGGCCCCAACATGCATTTCCAAATTGATGTTCCGGTTAAAAGCCCCCCATGCCCTACGCCCCTGTCACAGTGTTCCCTGAACACGTCCTGCACTTCAGGCCACTGGCATTGGCTGTGCTGTTCCTCTCTCTGCCTCACCGCCCTAGTCTACATCTTCTTTAAAGGCCAGCCTCCAACCATCTCTCCCAGGAACCCTTCCCAGCCCCAGCTAGGAACCCTCTCCCAGAACCTCAGCTCTCCCTTTATTAAACCGCTCATCACAAGTTGCTCTGCCTTTTACTTAATTCAGTTCTGCATGATCTTGAAAGAAGAATTTTAAGTCAAGCAGATCTAGATTCAAATTCCAGATATGCCTCTTCTTTTTACCTTAAGCAGTCTTCTTCACTGCCAGTCCTGGGTTCTCTCTCAGTCCTATTATTTTTCGAGGGAACTAATACCAGGTATTGCGGAGCTAACTAAGATCATGTTCTTAAAGAGTTTCACACAGTGCCCGGCACGCAGACACTTGACAGCGCTCATCTTCTTTAATGACTAGGAGGGCAGGAGCCCTGTCTATTTCCTCCCTGTGCCTGCCTGTTGGGCATGAGACCACATGACAGCCATTTGTAGGGCTCATCACATTCAGGAACTTCAGCCCCAATGAAAGGACATTTCAAGTGGTTGGAAGCCAATGGCAGGGCCTCCATGCCTTGACACCCAAGAGTGTGTCCTACCCAGTTCACCAGATCTGTGTGACTCATGCTTTTGCCTGCATGACATGAAAGTCCTTCCACTCTGGAGAAACGGGGTGTGGAAGGGAAGGAGCGTGGAATCTCCACCCTTACCTCCAGCTCTGTGACTTAGGAAAGTCACTTAACTTCTGTGCCTCACTTTCCTCAACTGGGGAATATGGGATTATAATTCCTATCAGTAAGAGTTTTGTTAGTTTGTTCATTTTTTGTGTTTTTTTGTTTGTTTGTTTGGCAGCTGGCCAGTACAGCGATTGAACCCTAGACCTTGGTGTTATCAGCACCACGTTCTGACCACTGAGAAAACTGGCCAGCCCCCTGTTTGTTTTTGTTTAAGAAAAGTTTCTCAGACAATGCCAGGCACATAACAGGAACCCAATAAATATTAAACTTTCTACTTCCCCATTTTCCTCACTATATCATAAGCTGCTTATGGGACAAAAACTATAGAGGATCAACAATTATTGTGGTTAGTCAGGATAGTAATGACATTACTTCTTTTGGTAGTGTTCAGTACATGATCACATACGCTGATTCTTAAAACAACCCTTCAAGGTCCACAGAGTTATGAGCATCTTGTAGGTGGAGAAATGAGGTCCAGAGAGATTAAATGATGTATTTGAAGTCCCTTAGTAAGTTTGAAACTTGAACCCAGGCATCTTGTTTCCAAATCCCACACCTTCTCTTCTGGTGCTGGTTGGTACTGCTGATAGATAGGTGACTATTTCTGCATGAGATTCTGGATTTGGCCTGTGGCCTCTATTATATCTTGTTTCCAAATCCCACACCTTCTCTTCTGGTGCTGGTTGGTACTGCTGATAGATAGGTGAGTATTTCTGCATGAGATTCTGGGTTTGGCCTGTGGCCTCTATTATATAGCAGTCTGGACACATTAAATGTGGCAGAGCCATGGCCGAGCTTTCTAGTGACAGTCTCTGACTTGGGAGTTGGCATTTGATTGTTTTCTAAGTTGACTTTCAAACTGAGAGAACATGTTGACTTTAGGATTATCTCTCCATTTTTTGGTACCTGTACGCTCTGTTTTCAAATGTCTCTAGTGACATTGTTATGAACGTGCTTGCTTACAAACGTTGTAGTCTCAGGTGAGTCTTGTCAAATACCTGGGACCTACTCCAGACTCAGTCACCAGGAAGCCAGCACCTCTTCCTGTTTCTGAATGGAGGCAGAAGCAGCTATGTAAAGCTGGTTGTCACCCACTTGCTGGCAACTGAAGAACCTAGATATCTCACATTCTTTTCTTCTGGCCTCACTGTAGATCAGTCATTCCAGTGAAGGCTTGACAGTTGCAACACAGCTACCAGAAAGNAGAGGGCAGAGATTGTAAATCTCTTTCACTTTTATGTCCCCAGTGCCTGGTACATACATAGATCTCCAGTAAATAATTATTGAATGGATTTGTCCTCTGCAGGCATCTGTAAGGATCTGGGGCTGATTTAAATGATCCTCCTTTTGCAGAAGATGAAAGTCTTTGTGCCTCAGTCCCAGTGCCTGACACAGGGTAGGTACAAAATAAATAGAGGATGAATGAAGAACCATCAAATCAGAAAGCCAAAAACAAGAACAGGAAGAGCCCAAGGTTATTGCACCATAGATGTAGTAATAAAAAACATTGGGTCTATTTTGTAAATTTGAATATAAGATGGTGTAGTTTGTAATAGCTCTCTAAAACAGAAGTTAAAATCTGCATGTATGAGGATTGGGATCCCCATACTGGCCAGTCAACAACAACAAAAAGAAAGCATAAAAAAATCTGCATATATGAACTGTTGGCAATACCTTCTTTATTTTTGTCTTTACTGTTTTTTTAATTATAAAAATAATACATGCTCATAGTTAAAAAAAGAAAGGGACAGAAAGGAAAAGAAAGAAATTAAAGCCATACAGAAGCATGCAGAGTACAGTCTTCTCCATCCCCTACCCACCCCCAAGATAACCACTATTAACCATTTTTGTGTATCTTTCAGATGTTTTCTATGTGTATACAAGCATACATATGAGGGTACTTCAAAAACTTCATAGAGAAATAGAATGAAAGAGAATACGAATCTTTCCATGAACATTTCGAAGTGCCCTCGTACATTTTATTTTCTTACACAGAGGGGACTTATACTGTGCACAGCCCTGCACAGCTTGCTTGTTTTCACTTCATGTCTTAAACATTTTCCACATCAGCACACAGAAATCTACTGCACTTTTTAAAAAAATGGCCCCCAATTACTTTGTATGTATCCATGATAACTAGACTCCATTGGTGAGCAGCTTTTTTCCCGTTTTTCACAATCACAAACGTTCGCAGTACACATCCCTCTAAGTGTTGCACACTTGATCAAGTATAGCCATAGGATAAATTCCTAGAATTGGAGTTGCTGGAAGAAAAGGTACACACTGCTGCAATTTTTATAGATCTTGCCAGATTGTTTTCCAAAAGGCTGCCCCTGTTGAGACTCCTACTGATGGGGTATCAGACTGCCTCCCGTGCCACCTCTTAGAGGGCCACAGGCACTATCAAAGTTTGCTTTGCCGGTCTATTAGGTGAGAATAGTATGTCATTATTTTGATTTGCATTTTTTAACGTTATGAGTGAGTTTCACATCATTTGTTTGGCAGTAACCTTTTTAAGCTCGAGAGTGCGGTAGTTTTATTTAAAAGAAGGAGGATCTTGCAAGTTACCTTCCCAAGTCATGGGCCTCAGAGTGAGGAGCTAATTTTGGACCTTTCTCCCACTGCAGACCACCCAGTACTAACATGACTCAGAGTGAGGGTGGGCGCGGGGTGAAGATGATAGACTGGGAGAGTCACACGACTGGGTTGTAATCCAGGGTCTTCTACCGACCAGCAGGGTGATCTCAATAGAGTCATTTCTCTGAGCCTCAGTAAAAGGAAACAGTTGGACAGGTCATCTGGTTCCTTCCAGCTCCAATCTCCGATGGCTCTAAGAATGGCTGCTATGACCAGAACTCTCATAGCTACTTGCAGTTTACAGGCTGAAGTCCAAGCTCCTTAGACTGGCATTCAAGTTCCTTCTTGATCTGGCCCCAACATGCATTTCCAAATTGATGTTCCGGTTAAAAGCCCCCCATGCCCTACGCCCCTGTCACAGTGTTCCCTGAACACGTCCTGCACTTCAGGCCACTGGCATTGGCTGTGCTGTTCCTCTCTCTGCCTCACCGCCCTAGTCTACATCTTCTTTAAAGGCCAGCCTCCAACCATCTCTCCCAGGAACCCTTCCCAGCCCCAGCTAGGAACCCTCTCCCAGAACCTCAGCTCTCCCTTTATTAAACCGCTCATCACAAGTTGCTCTGCCTTTTACTTAATTCAGTTCTGCATGATCTTGAAAGAAGAATTTTAAGTCAAGCAGATCTAGATTCAAATTCCAGATATGCCTCTTCTTTTTACCTTAAGCAGTCTTCTTCACTGCCAGTCCTGGGTTCTCTCTCAGTCCTATTATTTTTCGAGGGAACTAATACCAGGTATTGCGGAGCTAACTAAGATCATGTTCTTAAAGAGTTTCACACAGTGCCCGGCACGCAGACACTTGACAGCGCTCATCTTCTTTAATGACTAGGAGGGCAGGAGCCCTGTCTATTTCCTCCCTGTGCCTGCCTGTTGGGCATGAGACCACATGACAGCCATTTGTAGGGCTCATCACATTCAGGAACTTCAGCCCCAATGAAAGGACATTTCAAGTGGTTGGAAGCCAATGGCAGGGCCTCCATGCCTTGACACCCAAGAGTGTGTCCTACCCAGTTCACCAGATCTGTGTGACTCATGCTTTTGCCTGCATGACATGAAAGTCCTTCCACTCTGGAGAAACGGGGTGTGGAAGGGAAGGAGCGTGGAATCTCCACCCTTACCTCCAGCTCTGTGACTTAGGAAAGTCACTTAACTTCTGTGCCTCACTTTCCTCAACTGGGGAATATGGGATTATAATTCCTATCAGTAAGAGTTTTGTTAGTTTGTTCATTTTTTGTGTTTTTTTGTTTGTTTGTTTGGCAGCTGGCCAGTACAGCGATTGAACCCTAGACCTTGGTGTTATCAGCACCACGTTCTGACCACTGAGAAAACTGGCCAGCCCCCTGTTTGTTTTTGTTTAAGAAAAGTTTCTCAGACAATGCCAGGCACATAACAGGAACCCAATAAATATTAAACTTTCTACTTCCCCATTTTCCTCACTATATCATAAGCTGCTTATGGGACAAAAACTATAGAGGATCAACAATTATTGTGGTTAGTCAGGATAGTAATGACATTACTTCTTTTGGTAGTGTTCAGTACATGATCACATACGCTGATTCTTAAAACAACCCTTCAAGGTCCACAGAGTTATGAGCATCTTGTAGGTGGAGAAATGAGGTCCATAGAGATTAAATGATGTATTCGAAGTCCCTTAGTAAGTTTGAAACTTGAACCCAGGCATCTTGTTTCCAAATCCCACACCTTCTCTTCTGGTGCTGGTTGGTACTGCTGATAGATAGGTGACTATTTCTGCATGAGATTCTGGATTTGGCCTGTGGCCTCTATTATATTAGCAGTCTGGACACATTAAATGTGGCAGAGCCATGGCCGAGCTTTCTAGTGACAGTCTCTGACTTGGGAGTTGGCATTTGATTGTTTTCTAAGTTGACTTTCAAACTGAGAGAACATGTTGACTTTAGGATTATCTCTCCATTTTTTGGTATCTGTACGCTCTGTTTTCAAATGTCTCTAGTGACATTGTTATGAACGTGCTTGCTTACAAACGTTGTAGTCTCAGGTGAGTCTTGTCAAATACCTGGGACCTACTCCAGACTCAGTCACCAGGAAGCCAGCACCTCTTCCTGTTTCTGAATGGAGGCAGAAGCAGCTATGTAAAGCTGGTTGTCACCCACTTGCTGGCAACTGAAGAACCTAGATATCTCACATTCTTTTCTTCTGGCCTCACTGTAGATCAGTCATTCCAGTGAAGGCTTGACAGTTGCAACACAGCTACCAGAAAGCCCTGGGCTCAGAAGCACTGGTCTTAACCTCCAGCGAACCCCTTCTTGCCTGTGATTAACACCGAGTGGGGCGTAGCTATCAGGCTTACTGCCATTTCAAGAAAACACCCCAGACAGGGGAGCTGAGAGACTTGCTGGCTCATATTTGCATATTTTACTATTTGAAGAAAGGGTTACTAGTGGCCAGACATCGTTATTATAAGATAATGTCCATTTAAAATTGTTGGAGCATCTCACCATCTCTTAGTACAACAGCGATATTATCCTTGCTTTGTAGGTGGGAACAAGCAAAGACGAATTAAGTCATTGCCCAAAGTTGACATTTCATTAACTCAGTTTTTACAGAAATCCCTCACCAGCTCACCAGTTTCCTTTAAACTCAGGGATTTTTGGATTCATTTTTGTATGTCTTTTCTAA